CTGGAGTGCAGTGGCATGATCTCCACTCACTGCAATCTCTACCTCTCCAGTTCAAGCAATTCTTGTGCCTCTGCCTCCCAGTTAGCTGGGACTACAGGTGTTTGCCACCATGCCTGGCTAATTTTTGTATTTTTAGTAGAGACAGGATTTTACCATGTTGACCAGGCTGGTCTCAAACTCCTGACCTTAGGTAATCTGCCTGCCTTGGCCTCCTAAAGTGTTGGTATTACAAGGTGTGAGCCACCACACCTGGCCAGTCATTTTTATTTTAGCCATTCTATTATGGCTAAAATAAAATAGTAATATCTCATTGTGATTTTAATTTACATTTTCCTGATAACAAAAAAGTTTAAGTACAAGTTTATATGTACACATTGTTTGTTTATCTTCTTTGAAAAAGTATCAGTTCAATCTTATTCATCTGGTTTTTGATTAGTTTGTCTTTTTATTATTTATTTATAGGTTTTATTCTTGGATTCTGATACAAGTTCTTTGTTAGAAACATATGCAGCCAGTATTTTCTCCCAGCCTGTGGCTTGTTTATTCATTTTCTTAGCGGTATCTTTGATGAGTGGAAAGTTTTAAGATTCGATGAAGTTCAGTTTATCCATTTTGCATTATGCTTTTTATTTTCTGTCAAAGCTCTCTGTGCCTACCTTAAGCAGCAAAGATATTCTCTTGTGTGGCCTTTATAGATTACTCTTGTGTGTATGATTCATTCTGAATTAATTTTGGTTTCTGGAATAAGATAGGGATTGAGGTTATTTTTTTCCCCACATGGATATCCAGTTGCTTCAAAACCATTTGCTATGTAAATACTTTCCTTTCCTCATTGAATTGCTGTGGCAGCTTTGTTGAAAGTCAGTTGACCATATATGTATGGTCTGTTTCGAGGCTATCGTTAGGCCAGTACTACAGTTTTGATTACTGCTGAAATATTGATAGAGATTGCATTAATATATCAGTTTAGGGAAAATGGACAAGCAGCTTCTCATCCATGAACATGTTGTTTCTTCCATTTATTGGGCCTTTGATTTCTCTTAGTGCTACTTTGTGCTTCTCAGTGTAGAAATCTTACATATATTCTCTTTGGCTTATTCCAAAGCACTTTTTGTGCTGTTGTTAATGGTAATTTCTTAAAATTTTATTCTCTTGTTTGTTGCAATATTTGCCGATTTGTTAATTTTGAGTCTGTTGCTTCCATGTCACTAATTTTTTTCAACTCCAGCAAAGTGCATTTCAGTTTAGTACTGAAAGGATATGCAAGTCAGTTAAAATAAATAAACTTTGCAAAATTAAACTTAGAACATACCTATTCTGTTAATTAAGGGGTATCAGTATTTTCTCTACTTGATTGATGAATGCCGTCTTCAGAGGTCCCTGTTTGATTCAGCTGGCATTTTTTGAGACTATAAGGAAGTTCATGTTTTTTTTGTTTTTGTTTTTATATGGCTGCTTCTGGTTCCTTCATTAGGTAGTAACCCCTAGAATACACAATGCTTTAGCTTACATCTGTCTTTTATTTGATAAGTGAATCAATGAAGTGGCACTAGCTTTGGCTCTCGAGAGTAGGAAGGTTTTTGGCTAGTGGGGATTAAAAAAAAAGAGCAAGAAATAAAATAAGACTTGACAACAGAAGGAAAATGACTGTGGTCTTTTGGGGTCATAATGAGTCTGCCTCCCACATGATATCTCAGATTTAGAAATAGTAGAAACAAAATTAACATACACTTTGGGATCAGAAAGTCTTTAAACCTAGGATTAGGGGCTTGTTTTCCCATTAGCAATAAAGAAAAATTTAATATTTTAAGAATGTGCTTAATGACACCATTTTATGTATAGCCCTTTTAACTGAAACTTCTTAAAACATTTAGTGTCTTGCATTCCAATTTTAACTCATAGATATATTTGGACTGGGTTTTAATTTCTCATGGCTGTAAAAACAAACTATCACAAACTTGGTGATTTCAAATATTTATTCTTCTATAGTTCTGGAGAATTCCAAAATAATTATAACTGGGCTGAGATCAAAGTGTTGGCAGTACTGCACTCCCTCTGGAGGATCTGGTAGAGAATCTATTGCTTTTCTCTTCCAGCTTCTGGAGGGTGCAGGCATTCCTTGGCTTGTGGCCACCTCACCCCAGTCTTCAAGGGAAGCATCTCAGATCTCTCTCTGCACTGTCTTCAAATCACCTTCTCTGTGTGTCATATCTCTCTCTGCCTCTTTCCATAAGAACACTTTGAATGCATTTAGGGCCCAACCAGATAATCCATCAAAATCTTCCCATTTCATGAACTACAACATAATCACATCTATGAACTCCCTTTTTCCAGATAAAATAACATTTGCAGGTACTGGATATTGGGACTTGATATATTTGGAGGCCATTAGCAACCTACCACAGACAATTATTCCTTTTCTTAGACCTTCACTTTGCTCTGAAAGTTACTATTAGAACAGATTGGATGGAGGCTTTAAGCATCCCAAATGATAATACTTATTTTATAATTGCCATTTTTTTAATGTAATGTACCCATTTAATAAATGTTATAGAATCTGAATAGACTTAAAGCATCAGATGGTTAAGCCACTTATTTCAGTCAATCAGGAAAATACCAAATTAGAGAAAGAGATTGAATTGTACTTTGACTATCATAGAACTGTATTTGACTCATAATAAAATTTAGTAATATTTTTTAGTTTAAGGCAGCTGGGAATTAATTCCTGGTTTTGTAGGACTTTCTTAGTCAGATTGGTGCATGATCAGGCCTAATCTGTTCTATTCTTTGTTACCAAGTAGACTTCCTATATTGGCCCCTGAGAAATTACCTACCTTTTGATCTTTACCCCTACCCTATAGCTACAAATTTAGAACAAGTTCTCCAGGGCCTTAATGCTTGTGACATACTGATATTAAGAGTTTTCCCATGTAAGTGTGTCAGAAATGTATCCTGGCATATTTGAATATATTACATGTAATAACATTTAGTCATACTAAGCTTGTTAGACGAATCTTCCCATAGTGTTAGAGGAGTGGGTCAGCTAGAGAACTTCAATGCAGCCAATTCCTCTTTGGCCTAGGGATATTGCTTGAATATCCCAACTTATGGATTGCCAAAACCTTAGTATAGAAATAACTTTTATGTGCATCATTTGATAAATCATGGGCAAAGAAGATTAATCAATAAAGCCTTAGTTTCCTTTTCTTCAGTCCTTACATTAGTTTAAATATTTGATAACTGATAGATTTCATAGGAAGGGAGGTAGTTTGCCAAAGGGAAAATGGAAGCCTAATCCTCATCGTTTGCCCTAGAATCTTTTTCCCAGTCTATGTGATGCTTACCAGGTTCTTCTGTGTAACCAAATACCAGAATAGCATTTATTGTGCTAGAGAGGATCTTCAGCAGTATGGAGAAGTTCATCATGAAAATGAGTCTATTATTAAGATAGTCTGTGTTTTAATTAAAACTTACATATTTTACCAATTCTAAATTGAGAATTGAAGTCATTTTGCTTCATGGTACTTGACACAACTTACTGAGTGACTGGCCTTAGCAATTTAGATAATAATCGGCATGGTACTTGCAATTTTTTGGTGCTCCTGATAATGTGTGTAAGACAGTCAATGAAAGAATTTAAATGATTGTACCATTAATTGAGGAATATATCAACCATCCACCTTGATGGGTCATGAAATGTGCATCTCTGGTTTTTTGCCTTTTTTTATTGTAAAAACTTGGGGGAAAAAAGTAAGAATTAAAAAAAAAATCTATTCTACATTAAAAGGACATTCCTAAGTTTACTTTTTGAAATTAAAAAATGAAACTGTTAAAGTGATTATTGGATAAATACTATCTTTTCACGATAGATTCATTTTCTTGATGAACTTCACACTGCTGTAGGTCCTCTCTAGCACGGCAAACATTATTCTGGTATTTGGTTACATAGAAGAACCTGGTAAGCATCACACCGGGTGGGAATTCCTTATTTACTTAAGGGTAAGAAAATTTACATATCTGAATATGTGCTATTGTTATCCCCAGATTGTTTCAGTGAAATGTCTCTAAATTTAGATAATCGTTTCCCATTTGTTGAGAGATTTCTAAAAGCAAATGACATCGATCCTTTCAGAACTGTTAGATAAAAAGAGAAGGGAGAATCACAGAGAACATAGAAGAAAAGGAGGGAAGGAGTTAGGAGAAGTGATAGAAGTGATACTTATTGGATAACTAGTGAGCTACATCTACATGAGCATTTGAGAATTTATGAATTGGCATAAAACTTTCAGGTTTTGACCCAATAGTATAAAGAACTTACTGCATGTTGAAAACAAACATTTTTAGACTTTTTAGAAAATTCACATAAAAAAGGTTCTTTAATGAATTGATTTATATCCAAATATTTGAGTTCTTTAAAATTATTTCTTAGAAATTTGGCCTAGAATAACCAGTTTTCAATAAAAATGTATGCTTGGGAATTTATAACTTTAAAATCTTCAGGGCTGGGGAAGAAGATGAAAGTTGTCATGTTTATAATTAGATGTATTTTTATTTAAAATTATGATTGTATTATCTAATTTCATCAGAAAAAACTAGTAGTCAATTTTATAATGCTGTCTATAACCAAACACATTGTATAAGGAAAGCTTCATTCTCTGCCTAGTTTGTGCTCTTCCTGTTTCATGTCCTGCTCCTCTGCACGTACCTATTTCTATTTGTGTTAGTCATCCTCTCTAGGTAAATTGTCCATGAGACCAATGATTCTGTGAGCAAATTATCCAGAAAATGCTGTCTTTGCACGTTGTGACAGATCATGTCACTGGTGGATTTATAGCTACTCCAGTGGTCTAATTAACCTGGCAGTTGTCTCCTGGACCCAACACTGTTGTCTCATTGCCTTGGCATTTAGTTTTCATCTTCTCATTACCTTCATAACTAAAGCTCAGATTTATATATATTTTTAATCTCAGCTCTCCCCCACCCTTATTTTTGATTGGCAGTATCATCCAGATAAACAAAGTACAGATGCACCAGCAGGAACCGTGGAGGAACGTGTACAGAAGTTCATCGAAATTGATCAGGCATGGAAAATTCTAGGGAATGAAGAGACAAAAAGAGAGTATGACCTGCAGCGGTGTGGTAGGTACTTGTGTTGAGGAGCCACAGCATATCGGCAACTCTTAGAAGCACAGTCTGCAGCCATTCCCGGGGAGCATTTTCCAGCATTTGCACCAGGCATTATTGTTGCCTTTATTCCTCCCCTCCATCACTGTTTTTAATTATGCCCTATTCTTAGCAGTGATTATTGTGTATCCATTGAGAATTTAAAACTACTAGGATGTGCCTTCTTGTGAAGCCTTGAAAGCTACTTTTTATAACATTTGAAAAATGTTTAATTACACATTCTGATTAATATGCTTGATATGTTTAAAAACTTTTTTATTAAATGCATATGGATTAAAATTTTAATTACTTTTAAGACTATACAGTATAAATGACAATCCAAATGAAGATACTATAGATAGGATGACAACATAAAGAACTCTGCTGCCTTTGAGCTCATTTTAGACTGGGTTTCATGATTATCTTCAGGATAAACTATTCCTTATGATTGGTATAAATGATATTTTAGGAATGCACATTACCTAAGCAATTTAAAAAGTCATTTCTGTTATGCTTTTTAGAAAATAGCTTCTTAAAACAGTGACAAGCTATTGTGAGAAAGAGAGAGAGAAATGTAGGTCAGGTTTGTCACACATGGGCTGCAGTTACACGAAGTGATAGGCTGTCTTTCAGCACTGGCCTAGGGATAGGAGTCCCTCAGCCTTGTGTTTGAACCTTCAATATGTACCCCACATGCTAATGGGAGGAGTCAATAATCAGTTACAGCCCCTGGGGAAAGCACTCAATCGTTCTCTCCAATAGCACATCAGGCTCAGCATCGACTAGGATGTGTTGATAAAATCTGACTGTCTCTGTAGCTGCTTATTGAATCCTCTCCCATGCCCTACAGTGGCACACCATCAAACCTCACAAAGTGATTTTGAGGCTTTGTTACTACTAAGGTTATGAAAATTTGATTTGAGAAAGCAAGCCTTCATTTTTAAAACACAGCATTGTAAGATAAAGCCAGTGATATTTGTAAGACTTCCCTGTTTATTTTCAGAGGGATTTCTGCAAACAAAATTGTTTCTTATAGGCTGTGCATGTGATACTATTGTGTGGAAAGACTTAAACTGTTTATGTACTGCAGTGTTTGTTTGTAAGAGTGACTTATTTGTAGTACTAATCAACTCTAAGGTCTTACTACTTTTTAAAAGACTGATGAGCTTAATATTTCCTTAAATATTAAGAAACTGATGTACTGCAGTTACATTAAGTGATAGGCTGTCTTTCAGCACTGGTCTAGGGACAGGAGTCCTTCAGCCTTGCAAATAATTTGGATTAATTTTCAAATATGGCTTGAATATTGGGTTCTGCTTTTGCTGGGTGCATAATGAGCATCTGTCTAATGCATTTATTTTTTAAATATGTTTGTATTTCTTGCAAAAGAATGTAGAGGTGGCTTCATTTGATAAGTTCTACTCATAGGTGTTTATTTTTAACCTTGGGTCACATAATTTCTATAAAAGAATTGAAACTGATGCACATGAATGTGTTGTGTTTTAGAAGAAATCTGTGTTCCTAAAGCCACTACGGCCTACTGGAGATGATGATTCTTTCATGTGTTTTTGCACATCCTACCATGTAGGATGCCAGTTTGCTTATGATAAGAATAATTCACACAATGTTTACCCTAAAGAATATAGGGTATATACTTTCAGTGTTGCTCTACTTTTATGCCACTACACAGCCTATGTACTATTAAGAACATATTAGTGAAGTTGACTAGAAGCCTGCTCTCTAAAGAGGAAGAGGTAGGAGGGGATCAGGAATCATAAAAATATCCTCTCGAGAAGCTCCAGGGTAGGGTAGGCCAGAAACAGAAAGAAATAGGAAACCAGGTTAAAAGTGAGCATAGAATTGCATGAAGGAAGGTTTAAGAGATGTCAGAAGACAAATAATCAACATATTCATGCCTTTTTCTTTGTCTTTGAAAGGTCCTTGGAACTGTGAATTTCTTTTGAGCTTTGAGTCCTAGTTTTAAGCTCATAATAGAAGCACCTGTGGCCTGCTGTGTCACAGAGTACTCCTGTAGGTCATAGATGAGGTCACAATGAAGTTCAGACAAACCAAATACTGTGAGAGTTGGACCTGATTCATGATTCAGATAAATAGTTTGGAATTTATACAATATCAATTTACCCTTCAAGTTTTTCAGTCAACATATTACTAAATTTAGCTGTTTTACAAGGACAACTTTTCATGACACTTGAGTACCTCAGATTTAAGTACTAAATATTTCCTCCTTTACCAGAGGCTACAAATACTGAGACTACTTTGTTTCAATTTTAAATGGAGATTGACCTGTTTAGGTAAGAAGAGTATCCAAATATAACTTGCATTTTTAAACCTTTCATACAAGAGCTATTTTTCAAAGCGCTTATAATAAACCTACTTTCATATTGTTATTTCTTTTGAATATCATTATTAATTTTTTTCTTCTTGATGCATCTTCAGTAAAATGGCTCCCAAAAGAAGGGAAATGAACTTGAACTTCTCTAACTGAGGATTTAGGTTTGCTAGAAGGAAAACCTTTGAGAGTAATAATTTGTTAAAGACCAGGATAGGTTACCAAGAGAGAGAGAGTTTGTTATAACCAGGTCAAAGCGCTCTTTTTTTCTGGGTCACCCCCTGGGGACATGGAAATAGCTTTGTTATACAGAACTTTTTCTACATGTGGTGATAGTTCATTGTAAACCTTTCTTTTCATAGGGGGTGCTTTAAATATGTTTGTTTCCTGCCCATCATTAACTTGCGGTGTAAAATAAAATTGAGCTGTGTAATACTTGGGAAGGAGATAGGAAATGCATTACTGGCTGGTCTTGAATGCTTTCTCATGTTTAACAGCTCCATATTGGTGCTCTGTCTTAAGGAAAGCCTCATCAATATTGCCCACAGCCAGATATTTATCTAAAAGACAATTTAAAGGAGCACTTGACATCCATAGTTCTTTGCTTCTCAAAAGAAATGATCAAATGTATTCTTTCCAGTAAAGAAAAAGTAATACTCCAGGGCAGATAACCTAAAGTATTGCACATATGTTTGTTTCTCCCTCATTTCTACTTCTGTATGCTTAGTTGACATTTTAGGGCAATGTTGGCCAGGCTGAAGAAAAGTAAATTTAAGAAAAGGATGAGTAATAATTAGTTCCCAGAGATTATACATTTTGAAAGCAAAGTTAGCTAGTGAAATTAATCAATTAGTTCCAGTTGGCATATTTACCTTATTGTTTCTGAGGATGCTTCCAAAGGCTGCTTCCAGTGTTCCCTTAAAAGGCATGTAGTTATTCAAGATTAGGCTTTGCATTTCAACCAGATGAGCACTTTGGAAAACCCTTTCAGGATTTATAAAATGTTCACATGAATAATATCTGTTGAATGGATTTTGGTGCCTTTATAAATCTTGTGGGGAGTTGTCCTTATATATTAAGCACACTAAAAACACATCAGAAGTATATCATGGGAAAATAACAGTTGTCATGATTCAGTGGCTTTGTAATGTGAAAGTCACACAGATCTCTGATGTCTTAGTGGCTCTATAGAGCGACACAGCTTATGAGTGAATATACTTCTCTGTGATCTGAAGAGTAACAAACCTTCAAATAGTTACTCAGATTATATAGTGTTTTTAAAAAAATAGATTGTGTTTGGAATCCTTGGTGATACATTATTTTATATTAAGATATATCTTGGTTCTTTGTTAGTGAATTATTTTGGTAATGTGGAACCTTCACTCTACATAAGGATATCCAAAAAGCCTGACTCAGAGGGGGTTGGGCCAGACACTGTGAAGTGAGTGTGCCTTTGCTCAAAGCTAATCAGCTACTCTGTTTAGGTAGATACAAGAGGTCATTTCTAGTTTGTATTACACAGTTTACGCCATCCTTTTATTAGGGTAAATATTTGGGAAGATAAGCAAATAAATGGAATGGAAGATGAGCAAATCTGAAAACCAATGAGGAACATACCTTAAACCTTACCAACATGTGTCAGATAAGTCAACATGTAATTTCTTAAACTCAAAATAAGAATCCTTCCTGTAAAGCATGTTAATGTTATAGAAACTCCGTAAGAGGTAAAGATGTAGATGATATGAATTTTGGTTAACTGTTAGGAATAATGACTTAAGGCCGGTAGATATTTGTGTAATTATGTCCTAAAGCTGGCCCTTACAAAATACTTGAATTAGTGAGATTAGGGTTTCCATTTACGGTCATAATATTTCCATTTGATTTTAGGAATTTCAAAATTGGTTGTAAAAATTTGCTTCAGGTAAAACTTGGGAGATAAGCATCAGGGGGGTATTTTTTTTGGTGACCGTTTCTGAGAAAAGTAAGTATGTGAAATGATGCAGAAAATTCATCTCGACAGTTGGGGACTGGCTTTATCTTGAGTGGGAGAAGAGAGTATATAGATAAAACTATTGTGAAGGTTCCCTGACCCTAGCTTACTTGTTGCAAGAAGATGACTACTCACATTACTTGCTACTTGAATGCAAATAACTGTTCTTGCAATGAAAATGTATTTTAAGATCATTTCTCATTGGTTTTGAATAAAAATTTGGCTAGTTTCAAATAATGCTGTAGAAAACTATGAGCAAGATTATAGTTACAATTCTGCGACATTTGAACACACTTGGGAGTTCTGATTTAATAATGGAGAAGTGTAAGATTTTAGGAAGTTTTTGTTTCCAACTTTAACCTCTCTCCCAACTTCCACTTGGTTACTTGACCCAACTGAAATCAGTGTGTCCAAAATCAAGACTGACTGAGTCACCTTTCTTATTTTTTCTTCAACCTTGGTTTCATATTACACTCTAGTTACTTCTACTTTGCTCCATTTACAGTCAATGAATCAGAAATACCAGTTGACATTTGTTCTTTTTAAATGTTGTTTCCCCATTGTGAGCTTTTTATTATCACAGCTACCACAGTAGTCCATCCCCAGATTATAACACATACCCAGATTATTTCCATC